CTATTGTAAGATCAGAGTGGGCCATCAATATTTCCTTACTTTCTCGTTGAGCAGTTCTTCCACCAGTGCCTCAGTATATTCAGTTTCATCAATAGAAGAAGTATCTGTTAGTTCCTGTAGCAGGTCAATGACAGCAATACATATGTCAGAGTTATCGTGAGTGAGTAGGCCACAGAGTGTGTTGATAGTCCTCGCCCCTATTAACAGGCTGTAGTACTGAGGGACGGTGCTTATGATGTGGAGTGACTGTATCTCATCGTTCAGCTCTAGCTCAGACTCCATAAACTTATCAGGTTGATCAGGAAACTTGATCCGCATTTCTTGATTCTTGAGTACCTGCTTCTCAAAACTGAGGAGCATTCTCTTTACGGCTCCAGCGTCAAGGACTTCAGGGTCTGAGGAGAGGGGGTAGTTAATGGTTGCCATGGTAATGCGTAATGAATATTAATAAGTTCCCAGTCTCGTAGTCATGGGTCTTACTTTCATCTTCATCGTCGCTTAGATTTTGTAATAATTTTAATTTTTGTTCGTCTGTTAATTCACCTTCAGGCATGGAGCCATTGCTTTTCCTAAAATAAATAGCACAGGAGATAATTTGGAGCCATTTTTATGGAAAAACCATGGGCTATAGTACAGGGAATTTTTGAAAAATTAGTTCATTAAAATGGCCGTAACTTGAAAATTTGAAGTCGGAATCAGCTCAAACTTTCTGCACAGCATAAGTACATCAATATGCATCAGAAAATGTAATAAAAATTGGGGGTGATTTCGGAGCCATTTTTTGGAAAAAACCATGGGCTATAGTACAGGGAAATTTTCGGAAATCGGCTCATTTTTTAAAATGGCCGTAACTTGAAAAATTGAAGTCGGAATCAGCTCAAACTTTCTACATAGCATAAGGACATCAATATGTATCAGAAAATGTAATAAAAATTGGGGGTGATTTCGGAGCCATTTTTTGGGAAAAACCATGGGCTATAGTACAGGGAAATTTTCAGAAATCGGCTCTTTTTTAAAAATGGCCGTAATTTGAAAAATTGAAGTCGGAATCAGCTCAAACTTGCTACACAGCATAAGTACATCAATATGTATCAGAAAATGTAATAAAAATTGGAAATGCTTTCGGAGCCATTTTTTGGAAAAAACCATGGGTATAATAGCCTTGGGCATTTTTCAGAAATTAGCTTATTTTTTAAATGACTATAACTCAGCTCGGAATCAGCTCAAACTTTAAATACATACAAAAATTATTTCTAGCTCTAAATTAATTTTTTAAAAACCATGTGCCAAAATCT